ACAAAAAAATTTTTTTGTAACCCAGTGTAATTGTACAGATGAATTCTGGGTAGATTTGGGCACGCCTCAGAATTGTAGTGTGAGCGGTATCGGAGCGAAATTGGAGCGAGACAAAGCGACCGCTCCAGCCTTAATTAAAAAACCACTCCGCGCTCTGACCAAATTCCGCCCGCTCCGCTCCGCTCACATGCCCTGGTATACATATCGGCATAACTTATTTTCTGTTTTATTTCATTAGGCTTCTATAATTGTTACTTAAACAGAGTTATCCACAAGTCTTCTGAAGTTATAATTTTGATTCTCCAGATGGAAGGAGGCCTCAAATAAAAACCAGCTGCGATACAGCGAAAGCATCAAGATCCTGAAGGAGATGTATGAACGTTAGCAGTGCCCGCAATGCTTCCCAGGTCTCGTGTGGCAGAAAAGCACAGGACAACACAGCCATTTAACTTAGCGGGAGGAGATTCCTAGAGCCTACAGCTTGCTGAGTGTAGTAATTCAGTTTGTAGTAGTTGTTTCCTATGGGTTATATTCATATAATAAAGAGACTGCCACTCTGGTGTGAGGTGATTAAAACAATGTTAGCTTTGTCAATTTTTATATGGTTAAAATTAATTTGACAATGCATCGGTTTGAGTCCAAATTCTTTGAAATGGGGTGCATTATTAGTCTTCAGAAAAATACAGTATTTTAAAAATGTGAATGTTCTAGTATGTCTTCATTTGATTTTTGCCATTTTTCTTTTATAGAAATGCATTAAGCATGCTTGGCGTTTATCCCACAAATATATGAAATAGTTACCTAAAGTATTTAGAGTATTTAACAAGTCAAGTACAGTTTAAGCTAATGTTTTTTAAAAACACATGACACTCAGCTTTCTAAGTGAAATAATTCAAATGCCTTTAGGGCCAGTGCTTCCCTTATATAGACATCTTGGTTAAAGCAGAGTGAATGGAAGGAAAGGAACACATGGGCCAGCAGCCAGAGCCAGTGCGAATATTTTCACTCGGGGTGTATGTGCAGCCAGCCAGGGGCAGTGTGGATATTCTGACTCAGGGTGTGCGTGGAGCCATCCAGAGGCAGTGTGGATATTCTGACTCGGGGTGTGCGTGGAGCCATCCAGAGGGTGTGTGGATATTCTGTCTCGGGGTGTGTGCAGTCAGTCAGAGGCCGTGTGGATATTTCCACAACTTCTGGATGAAGAGGACAAAGTAGCTCCTTTAACCCACAAATATTTATCTGACCACAAACAGGCGTGTCACTTGGACAGTTTACTGATTTTACAGTTGTTATAATATAACATGGATTAAAATGTATTTCTGTGAGAGAAATTTGCAATGCTCTGAGCAGATTTCTCTAATCTGTTGTTACTTTATTACAGTGTGTCCAAGGCCTGAGTTATAGTATTTTCACTTTCAAATTAAGACACTCTAATGGCTTTATATTGTAATACATTTCTGCAGACAGAACCCAGTGTACCAGGAATTTTTTTTACTTTTCTGTATACATTCTGGAGTGGTCACCCACAACCAATTGGCAAATATTTGAAATGGTTTTATTGTTACACACAGCACATAATCATGCTATAGGTGTGGTCATTTACCCATTTCCTTCTCCAGGCCATTGTTATGTATTATTACCCACACCTGCAACAAGCATATTTACATTCATTCTGGTTAATGTCTCCTTGCTCTAGCCTGAGTTTTGGTTCTTCCTACTCAGCTTTAGTTGGATGGTCTTTTCGTCTGGCTTTAAATTCGTCTTTCATGATAGCCATTGTCACCTGGCACTTGAGTTCCTCTTAGTCGCCTCAGCTACTGAGTACTTGGAGCCTCACCAGCTGAAGAGGAAAGGGCTGGCAGGCAGAAAACCCTGACGTGGGAGTGCTATAACTAGAACCTATATACCAGACTTAGCCAAAGTAAGTTTGATTTTCTTTAACTCTGTCATGTTGTCATGACAATTTATGACCTATGTTTTTCACCTTATCTTTGCAGCCAGTTAAGCTAACCTGAAATAGCAATGACCATTGTCTGAAATGAATGGGCTTTCCCGGGGTGGCTGTTCAAAGGTCCTGACTTAAACAAACAACCATGTCATGTCAACTTGATGAAAATAAGTACAATGTCAACTGCTAGATCATAAACTTACATTTTACATATAATTACTGTATATGTGCATGGTGGTAGTAACTCATTTGAAAGGTAGAAGTCTATGATTTTCTGCTGTACTAGGCTTCAGGAACATCACTTTTAAGGGTCCAGCAGAAGTCAATGAGCATACTGAGACTCCATCTACCTTGATATCGTTTTTCCGTATTAGAGAGAGCAGGATCCTATTTCATACTAGTTCAAATGTGTTCAATATATCAATATAAAAGTCTACAAAACATTCTGAGTGCATTTCTGAAATCAGAAAAAATGTACATATGACCCCCATTAATTGTTCCATGAATATTTCTCTATATTTATGAATAAATACTCTGAACTCTTCTTGGGGTATATATGTGAGACACTGGAAGAAGTCCACTGATATTCACTGATATGGCATATGACATTCTTAGTAGAATACAGTACAAAAGCTAACTGCATCCCTCATTCACTGCCAGATAGTAGACAATTGTGTAAACAAAAATCACAGAGTGAACTCAATATATGGTGTTATTGCAAGTTTGTTTATTTAGTATTATACAATGCAAATTAAAAACAAATACAGTGTTACCTTGGAACACAAACTAAATTGCGATTTGGTTGAGGTTCAAGTCACATTTCCCATAAGAAATAATGTAAATGAATACATACCACGATAGTACCCGTGGTCTTGGTAAGACTGGTCAGGCTAACTTGCGTCCCAATGAACTTTTGTCTCATTTGGCAAGGGTGCACCAATGCATTCTTGATATTTGGGACAGGGCAAGAACGACATCCAAGGATTTCTACAGTCCTCTGTACTTCTAGTGGAGTATTGGAACTTGTCTTTGGCAAAGGAAGATAACAACATAAAATGGGTACACAAGTACAATCAAGTACCCATATTGAGAAACACCTCATGTCTTCATAGACCACATCCTTCGAAGGATGCACCCCTGAATTTGAACAGAGCCTTAGGCTAGATACACACTTTGGGAAGAGAAACATCAAAATATGGGTGTGTCACATGTAAATTACCCTTACGTGCATTCGGCCACTACCTTAAGTGATTTTAATTGTATTTTCAATACGTGCTCTGGAGTGCCATATTAAGTCACACACCTCTACGTGGTCAAATGCAATGTTGCAGTGCTCAGAAAACTAAACATATAACAAAGACACACTTTTTACATTTGTCATACATTTAGAAGCAAATGTTACAATCCAAGACACATGCGAATGATTAATTTAATTATATAAGAATTATAAAAACATAATATATAGGCCTAAGTTTATACAAGTATATTACCATTACACATGAATCAAGTGACATCTACCTTGTGAACATGCCTAGTAGGTGAATCAATGAGGCTAGATGACTGGTCAATTAAAAAATAATTCTTTCAATTAAAATGAGTGAAAAATAGGTTCAAAGGAAGTAGTGTCCTCGCAGTCCTAAAAAACAGTGCATGTACTTGTGCTTCTGCAAGAAAGGAACAGAGATGCCCACGTCTTCATGTACTTCAACTGACCGACACTTAATGCATCATGTTTCTGAATGGACTGTAAAACGCTCCCTTATTTTCTTACACATACATACACTTCTCACATACACTACAAACACCAGGTCAAGGGTCCCCGGTGGAACTACCTGACCAGGACCCTCACCTAATTGGTAACCATTCTATGCTCAATGGTGTAGGTGTGTGGGTTTTTAGTAACAATGACTAGCTATTAGTTTGGAATAATACATGGCAGCTTGTGCTGTTGCATATAAGCTTGTTTGGGCTATGCAGTTGGTTGCATTTTTTTTCGACATTTTTAGTCAATGCTGCAAATATCCATCAATTTACACCATATACAGTGGTGTGAAAAACTATTTGCCCCTGATTTCTTATTCTTTTGCATGTGTGTCACACAAAATGTTTCTGATCATCAAAAACCATTACCTATTAGTCAAAGATAACACAAAATGCAGTTCTTAAATGAAGGTTTTTATTATTCAGGGAGGAAAAAAAATATCCAAACCTACATGGCCCTGTGTGAAAAAGTAATTGCCCCCTGAACCTAATAACTGGTTGGGCCACCCTTAGCAGCAATAACTGCAATCAAGCGTTTGCGATAACTTGCAACGAGTCTTCTACAGCACTCTGGAGGAATTTTGGCCCACTCATCTTTGCAGAATTGTTGTAATTCAGCTTTATTTGAGGGTTTTCTAGCATGAACCGCCTTTTTAAGGTCATGCCACAGCATCTCAATAGGATTCAGGGCAGGACTTTGACTAGGCCACTCCAAAGTCTTCATTTTGTTTTTCTTCAACCATTCAGAGGTGGATTTGCTGGTGTGTTTTGGGTCATTGTCCTGCTGCAGCACCCAAGATCGCTTCAGCTTGAGTTGACGAACAGATGGCCGAACATTCTCCTTCAGGATTTTTTGGTAGACAGTAGAATTCATGGTTCCATCTATCACAGCAAGCCTTCCAGGTCCTGAAGCAGCAAAACAACCCCAGACCATCACACTACCACCACCATATTTTACTGTTGGTATGATGTTCTTTTTCTGAAATGCTGTGTTACTTTTACGCCAGATGTAACGGGACACGCGCCTTCCAAAAAGTTCAACTTTTGTCTCATCAGTCCACAAGGTATTTTCCCAAAAGTCTTGGCAATCATTGAGATGTTTTTTAGCAAAATTGAGACGAGCCTTAATGCTCTTTTTGCTTAACAGTGGTTTGCGTCTTGGAAATCTGCCATGCAGGCCGTTTTTGCCCAGTCTCTTTCTTATGGTGGAGTCGTGAACACTGACCTTAATTGAGGCAAGTGAGGCCTGCAGTTCTTTAGATGTTGTCCTGGGGTCTTTTGTGACCTCTCGGATGAGTTGTCTCTGCGCTCTTGGGGTAATTTCCGCTCCTGGGAAGGTTCACCACTGTTCCATGTTTTTGCCATTTGTGGATGATGGCTCTCACTGTGGTTCGCTGGAGTCCCAAAGCTTTAGAAATGGCTTTATAACCTTTACCAGACCGATAGATCTCAATTACTTTTGTTCTCATTTGTTCCTGAATTTCTTTGGATCTTGGCATGATGTCTAGCTTTTGAGGTGCTTTTGGTCTACTTCTCTGTGTCAGGCAGCTCCTATTTAAGTGATTTCTTGATTGAAACAGGTGTGGCAGTAATCAGGCCTGGGGGTGGCTACAGAAATTGAACTCAGGTGTGATAAACCACAGTTAAGTTATTATATTAATTACTTTTTCACACAGGGCCATGTAGGTTTGGATATTTTTTCTCCCTGAATAATAAAAACCTTCATTTAAGAACTGCATTTTGTGTTTACTTGTGTTATCTTTGACTAATAGGTAATAGTTTTTGATGATCAGAAACATTTTGTGTGACACACATGCAAAAGAATAAGAAATCAGGAAATAGTTTTTCACACCACTGTATATTGGTTAGTCATATTTGATAGTTTACAGAAATTGTTCTAAATAGGGAAAAAGTATATGGATTCGTTCTTAAGCACAATATGGGTCATTCTCATGAACTCATTACCATAACATATCAATTTTCTTTAATTTTTAAAATTAGTTTGCTACATTGTATTATTGTCTAAAATGTCAATTTTGCCTTATTGAAGATTGCATAATGCACATATGATAAAGCTAATAAGGAAATAATTATTTTTAAAGAGTTCCTTTTTTGGCCCACTTTGTCTGCCAATGAGTTTAACTCTCAGTTATTCTGAGTCATTAGAAAGGCCCCAGTTTCGTTCATTTGGTCTTGGTTTAGGGGATTCGCTTGTGTGTGTTTGTTTTTGCCAATGTTTATAAAGAGATGTTCCTCTAAAAAGGCGCTCTCTAGAACAGACAGAATGGACTGATGGAACTTCTGTTGAAAGTCCTCACATAAAAAGACATACATGATGGGGTTCAGGCAGCTGTTCAGAAATGCCACACTAGTGGATAGGGGCACTCCAACAGACACGGCCTTACAAAGGGCCCCACTGAAATTGCCATCAGAATTGCACTTCAAGTCCAAATACTGGAATATGTGAAATGGCAGCCAGCAGAGGAAAAAGGCCAGAATTACTGCCAGAATGATCCGGAAGGGTTTTAATTTCTTCTTTCTCTGAAGGGATATAATACGCTTGCCGATAGCTAAGTATGATCCTAAGATAATAACAAAGGGGATGAAGAATCCTACGACACTTCTGAAAATAATGAGATCTCTATGAATTGTTGCAGTGATTCTTGGGGCACCACAAACAGTATTATTTTTATACTGAAACACTTGTTTATAAGCACTGTATGGAATACTGCAACCAAGGGAAATTAACCATATGGTTATGCAGACGACTTTGGCTTTGCATATGGTGCGTTTATTCTGAGCCCATACAGCCATCCATGTTAATAAGCAGCGGTCGAGACTGATGACCATCAGCAGGAAGACACTGGTGAACATGTTCAGCACTCCAACCAGGGTGTTGAGTTTGCAGATGAAGTCTCCGAAGGGCCAGACAAAGCCTCTGGAGATGTAGACAATATCAAAGAACAGGAAAGCAGTAAAGAGAAAGTCAGCCACCGCAAGGTTAAGAAACCATATGATGTTGACTGTCCGCTTCATCTTGAATCCTGTCACATAAACGACCAGCCCATTTCCAAGAGTGCCAAGGAGAAATGCCACACAGTATACAACTGTTGCCACAACTTGTACATTCCCTCTGCTGATGTAAGACGAGTTCCCCCTCTGGGATTCATCTGTGATGTTTACTGGGTCTCCCATGACTTTTATTTAAAAAAAGTAAAGAAATAGATCATTAAATGAAACACACTATGGTGAAACTTTCACTCAAAGCAAAAAACAGCCAATATAGTCAAACAGCAAGAAATGCATCTTAATTTAAACTATTATTTCCAGCAACCAAATTAACCATTAAAGCCTAAAATAATTGTATTTGTTTATTTTACTTCTCAATAGACATGAAAAACAATAATAAACAAAACTGATTCCTTATACTAGTTGGGGCAACGTACGTTAGCATTACTATATAGGGACCAGGATCATTAAATTCATTTTCTGAGACTTGGTGAACAGCACAGCTGATTCATATCTTTAGAGCTGGGGGATATAAGTGATAATCCGCTTGTAGTATCTGGATCCAAGTAAAGAAAAACAGCTGAGCAAAGATGAACAGGAGCAAAATCACTGCGTAAATATGTTACGTAAGTGTAAGATATCTAAAGCTTAATAATATGTTTCTTATAGGTAACTCTGCTACTCTGTCCCGATAGTAAATAAAAAATTTATTAATCCCGGTATGTTAAAGTATCTTAGGGACAACCCTTCCCAGCCTGACAGCAAAGTATAAAATAGGAATTATCAGTATACCTAAATAGTAGTCTTACATTCGTTGCACAGTAGCCGTGTCAAAAAAAAAAACATTAGAAACATAGGCTACGTCTGAAATGTATGTACACGTTTGATATAGATAACGGTGGTTAACCCTACGTACTAATTAGCACATATCTGTTATCCAGCACATCATAAAAGCTGAAAAATAATGTTTCTCTTTTCTCTCTCTTGTTTTTTTGCGGTACAAATAAAACAATAACTTTATATTTTTCTATATACTCCACAGAATACAGTGTGTCAATCTATAAAATAGAGATATTTAAACACTGGTGTCTTACCTAAGTGCTTCTTTTTGATCTTTTACAGACGATCGTGCTTCTTGAAGCTTCTCCCCGAACTGACAAACTTTGAGAGGAGTAGCCTACATTTCAACTTGGCACAGGTACAGCTCCTCTCAGTGTTTACATAAAGGGGAACCATTTCAGCCATTTATCACATCTTTTTAAGAATGTATTTATTATTTTTTCTTTTACTGTTGCTTTTTTGGTCTATCTTTCTTGTTTACATGTATTACAAAGACATTAACAAGTATTTAAAATACGAATTGAATCGCTAAACTGTTAACTTATTTTGCTTGTTTCCTTGGTATAGTCATTCTTTGGTATGAAGGACGAGTAATTAACTATTTAAAATGAATATTGCAATATAACATATAATTTCTAAATAATCGGTGTTTTTCTTTGTATGGACAGCAATATTCACTGCATGATGTTACCAGAGAGCTAATTTGCACTTGATGGTGCGGGTGAACATATTTTTATTTACAAATGCCATACTTTTTCTATCATTATTTTGATTATTCCAGTCATTCAGCACAAACTGTTTGTGTTTGTGAACGTTTTTAATATTAGTATGGATGTGGGCACATAACATAGCCTACACTTAAAATGAAGGGAATCAATAATACTGCATGTTACCTACAGCCAGTCCTACTGTTTTTCTCCAGATGGCACTCGTAAAATGTTTAAAACTAACGCATCAGTGGTTTTTACGACGCAAAGGTTGCATTATTTTTGAACGCTCGATATTTGTGTGCAAACGTTTTAGCGATACCCTTATAACATATCGATATAAAAGTAGCAGAAGAAACAATACAAATGAAACAACTCCTCTGTCTTTTGTCGGGTGGCCTGGTGTAGGAACTTGACTCTCTGCTGAAATTTTGGGGGAAAAAAATCATACATGCCCAGGACGGAACAGACAAAATGAGAATTTAAATGAGAATTCAATCGACTAGGCGAGACCGATCTGCTGTGACTTAGTTTGCAATGTAACCAATTAGATGTTAGGTTTTGTCTAGAGCCCGCCCACCGACTTTGACAGATAATTTTAATGGTTGCTGGTATAATTTAAATTGTAAGTCAAAGAACCTGACATTTACAAATACAGTGGTACCTCAGAACTGGAACTTAATCCGTTCAGAACTCCGCATCGAGTTCTGATCGAATTTTCCCCATAAGAAATAATGGAAAACCAATTAATTGGTTCCCGGCCCCAAAAACACAAACACAAAATTTAAACACAAAATGAACAGGATAAAACAAGAAGAGCATATACTGTACTAAACACATCTAAGCACATTTATCAAAACAGTAATTTGTAAAGTAAGAAAATAAATGTATCCAAACAATGTGTAAAGTTAAAAATAACAATGTGTCCTGCTCCGATCCTCCGCTCCTTCGTGTGCTACTGTATGCCCCCTCGTTAACCCCATGTGGAATCTGTTTCTGGTTGTTGTCATTAGTCCTGCGTATTTATGTCCGCGTTTCAGTTTGGTTCCCCAGTCCGGTCATTGTGTTGTCAGTCTGCTTTTTGCCTGCCTTACCTGTAATTAAACCCTGTATTCCCCGATACCCTGACGTCTGCGCCTTAATTTGTATCTGTTCCGTCCCAGCTCGGCACGACAATATTATTATAATTAAATATATTAATGCTTTATTATTAAAATAATTAATAAATCTTTTATTTTTAAATGCATTTTATTATATAATAATTACTGTTACTGTCTATCATTGTCAATGTATTTTTTCTGTCTAAATATATGTGGGTGATTCCTGTTTTGGACCACATATTTGGCTGTCTGTTTTCTGAAAATTGGAATGATTGTATTTTATGGTTTAAACATTTTGTCAGGACTATACCATACTTAGCTATGAGGAATGCATGTTTGCCAAGCTCAGGGGTTGAAAATATTATAATTATGGGATGTTTTTTGTATATATTTCTCCAGACGTTTTCCACCCTGTTAGGGACATGTACATGGTAATCGCAGAGTTTAAATAATGTACAAGTCAAACAATACTGAACTTTTCTGGGATACAATGCGTCCCTTTTGCTATGATAAAAGTTCAATTCTTGTAGCATTAACAGTTTTAATTTTATGAAGAGTACAATGTCAGAATAATGGAATCTGTGCATTTTTTGTCCCCATTTTGTCATGTATGAGGAATTTTATTAATTAGAAATAAAAGTATATGTAGATGCATTATATGTACCTCTTTTAACAAAACAATATACAAATACACCAAACACTTACTGTTGTGATTAGAATATTTTTTAAAATCATTTCCTAACAGGGTGGAATAGAATATAACAGGGTGGAACCGAGTAAGCCTCTTAACAAGTAGATTCAGATTCACAACAACAATACTACTACTACTACTACTAATAATAATAATAGTAATAATAATACCTGTGATGACGGCGTGCGGGCGAGTGGGGAAGCAAGCGAGGGAGCCATGAATCGGACGAAAATAGGGTTTTAATTAGGGCAGACAGCACAAAACAAAACCACGTTAATGACAGACCTGGGGAAACTAACTCAGACACAGACTAAATACACAAGACAAGCTGAAAATAACAGGAAACAGGTGATTACAATCGGGGTAGTACACATAGGTAATGAGGGGGCGTGGCACACACGAGGATCGAACGAGCAGGTCATGACAGAACCCCCCCCCCAAAGGAACGCACTCCAGGCGCGCCCCAGGGGAGGTGACGAAGGAGACGAGACCGGGAACACGGGACATGAAAAACAAGAGCAAAAACATCAACGAGAGACGGGGAACAGAACAGACACACAGAACAAGCACAGGGGCAGAAACCAAGACAGAATCTGACAAAGGACGGGGAACGCGGACAGACAGACCAGGAAGGGAGACACAAGGAGAACACCGACAGGCGGAACAAAAGGGCCAGGAGTGAACGAAGGAACCAGAGGGGGACGAGGAGCAGAGACAGGAGAGACAAAGGGATGAGGAGCAGACAAGGGAGGCCAGACAGGAACAGACGGGGGACAAAGGGGAGCCCGAGGGAGCCAAGGTGGGCGACGGGCAGTGGCCGGAGTGACCGCAGGAGACAGGGAGGCAGGAGCAGGAGGGGAACACGCAGGGGGCAAGGAGACAGGCCGAGGGACAAACGAAGGGGACAAGGAGGGAGACGGAGGGGGCACCAGCGAAGGCACGGAGGAGGGGGACCCGGAGGCGACAGCGGAGCCGGAGCCACAGGACCCGCAGGCAGCCACCGAGCCACAGCCAGGGGACGAACGGGTGAGCCAGGGGGCAGGGCGGGCAGGACCCGACCCCGGCGCAGGTGTCCCCTCCCTTTTCGGGAGATCAAGAGGCGGGGACCTGGCCGGGATTGGTTGTGCTGGGGCAACGGTGGTGGAGTCACTGGGGAAGCCATGGGGGTAATCAGGGCAATCCCCGAGGGGTCCCACTCAAGCTCCCCCTCCAACTTCACTATGGAGGGAGGAGCATCGATGCAGCAGTCCAGGACCTCCTTGGGGACAGGGGCTTCGGGCAGCACAGTGAGGGGCGCCGCAGGAGTCTTCAGGGGAGCGATCACCCCTGGCATGGGGGCAGCAAGGAGCACAGGAGCCTCCAGGGGTGCGATTACCCCTGGCATGGGGACTGCAGGGAGCTCAGGAGTTATGGGGAGCACAGGAGCCATGGGGAGCACAGGAATCACGGGGAGCACAGGAGGTGCAGAAATGGCCTCGGGCGGCGGGCCAACAGGGGGTACCGCAGGAGCAGTAAACACAGGTGCCTCTGGGGGCGCCGCAGGAGCACTCACCGATTGGGTACACGAACCCACCTCCTTAGATTGTAGTATCACACCAATTTAATTTTATTTGTTCTATAAACCACCTGCTTGCACCAATATGTGTGTAAGTCATAGATATTACAATGAGAAATGGCACAATTGTAAAAAAAAAAAAAATACATTACTGGTCGGACATAAGAGAATGTCCAGTATGCTTCATTATTAACTGCTAAGGACTATTCTTGTGTTTTTTTTTTTTTGGGAAATAGACTTATATGTAAATGAATCTGCAGTTTCAACTCTGAAGTTTTGATATACTATGACTTTTTGTCCTGGTGCCAGGACAAAGACCTCTCAAGCCCTTCGCGGACCAAAAAAAAAAAAGAGCAAGTTGAGGGAGGTGTAAAGACATTTTCCCCACGGGGATCAATAAAGTATTGATTATTATTATTATTTATCCTCTCTTCCAACACAATTCATTGTAATGTTGACCCTGTCTTAAGATACGTATGAAAAACAAATTGAAACTTGAAAATTAAACTCTGGCACATTAGAGAGGTATGTGCATTCCAGGTGCATTGGAAATAGGGGAACCATCCCTATATAAATTCAAACACACACACACACATACACACACACAACATCACCTTCCTTATTTTTCATTATGAATCCATGCGTTTCTGAGGCCAGTTCGCTGTGCATTCAGATTTCAAGGACGAAACCTAACGAAAATGATCAGTTATTTTTTAGTTAAGTGATGTTTAGCTCTGAAACTGTACCCTTAACCATGATAGTCTTATCTTAAATAATGACATCTTTGTTGTTTGATTTATATGAATTATATGGTTATATGGATTTATATGAATTATATGAAAATCTCTTACATCGCACCCCATCCCCCAAAAACTGTTGAATGATTAGAGTCCATATTATATATTTATATTTATGGTACACCATTTTTCTCATTTCAGAGGCGTGTGCTCTGAACAGTGAGGGTTATAGCGGTATGTATGAGGTGCCGGGCCAGACGAAGGCCTGAAATAAAACCGCGAGAGGAAACGAGAGATGTCGAAAGTGCACGCGAGCGAATGAGTGGACGCGAGAGATGTCGAAAGGCCGCGAGAGAAACCGAGTTATTATTAAGTGGGAGAGAGGATGAGTTTCACGTGAAAGATGTTAAACTAACGTCACGGCAATGGCAACGTATGTGTGCTGTCTGGGTATGTATGCATTAGTAAGGGAATTTAAGTAACACAAAAGTTATTTTCCCTAGTAACTAATTCCCTTTATATTCTGGGGGTAGGGGAGGCAGTGCCCCATGAGAACATG